AAGCTTGATCCTTGATAATAATAAGAATCCTTCCCTCTAGGTTGGAATTTCGGACAGCTTAATCCATAAGCAAGATCCAGTTGATCAGATTGTAGCGATTTGCATCTGCTTCCTGTATCATACTTCTTTATCTTCATCTGGTTGAGTTCTGGTCAGCAAGCTATTCAAGATAGATCAAATGGGTACTATCTGCAAATTTTGGAGTTCTCACAAACCTCCCCTCTCTTCAGACCAGCTGACTGCTTCACTCTTAACTCTAGTCCCCAGTGGCTAGGTCAGTGTCCTTGGGCTTTGGAGTTCACACGTCATCCTGAACTTCAAACTAGCTAGCCCATCCTCTTCTCTCTCTCATCTCAAGGTCATCTGGATGTCTATGGAACATGGCCAATCTCAACCCATGTCTTCATTGCTGCATTTCCCTGACTTTCACTCACCAGTTGACCAGGGTGGTCACCAGCAAGCATTCAAGACTGTTCACGTGTTCCCTTTGAGTTTCAGTCTTAGAAAGGGGTTTACCTTGATGGGCTGACTTTTCTTGACTTGATGGCTCCAAGGCAAACAACTTGCTTAATATGAAGGTTCTGGCTAGGGCACAGGATCCCACCTAAGGCCCCCTACTCCACAAAGACTTAACAAGAAGCCTGTTTCCCTGGGCACATTCTAGTTCTCTTTTAGATAACCAGATCATTCTCTAACCTCCCCCCCCCCCAATTTATAATGCTTAAGTAATAATATACGATCCTACCAATTCTTACATATATGAAGGTGTCTGGTTGGCCCTATTGTAATTTTCTGGAAGTAGAATTGCAGGGTCAAGGTGCATGAATATTTAAAATAATTTCAACACTTTCCAAATGCCTAGCACATGTTGTTAGGTGATATTGAGCCAGTTCCTACAAATAGCAATCCTGTGCACAACAAAATGAAGCACTGCTCAGTCCTTTGCCATCTTCACAATTGTCGTATTTGAGTCCATTGTTGCTGCCACTGTGTCATTCCATTTTGTTTAGAGTCTTCATCTTTTCACTGATCCTTTACTTTACCAAGCATAATATCCTTCTCCAGGGACTGGTCCTTTCTGACAACATGTCCAAAGTTCAAGGAACACAAGTCTCACTATCCTGGCTTCTAAGAGTTGTTTGTTCTTTTGACAGTCTGTGGTACTTTCAGTTTTCTTTGTCAACATCATAATTCAGATGCATCAATTCTTCCATGGTCTTCCAGCTTTGATACCATGACTTGGGTCAGGATCACCTTAGTCTTCAAAGTGACAAAGATTTGTCTAGTGCAGTAAGTGATTTGATTCCTTAACTGACTGCTGCTTCCTTAAGCGTTGATACTGGTTCCAAGCAAAATGAAGTCTTTGACACCATCATTTTTTCTCCATTTATCGTGATGCTGTTTATTGGTGCCATTATGAGGATTTTCGTTGTCTTTTAATTGAGGTACAATCCATTCTGAAGGGTGTAGTCTTTGATCCTCAACAGTAAGTTGCGTGAGTTCTCTTCATTTCCATCAAGCAAGGTTGTGTCTTCTGCATATTGCAGATTATTAACCTTCCTCTAATCTTGATGCTATGGTCTTTTTATAATCCAGCTTCTCAGATTATTTACTTAGCGTACAGAATGAATAAGTATGATGAAGTATGCAACCCTTTGGTGCACACCTTTCTTGATTTTTACCACTCTGTGTACCCTTTCTTCCAGTCTGTGACTTGTCTTTTCTGATAGTGTTTTTCTAACAACAGAAGCTTTTTTAATTTAATGAAGTTCATGTAAATAACAAGTGAGATTACTCCTGTGCTCATCACTGTAAGAAGTCCTGTTATGGGTTGCGTATCTGCAGAGGAGATTTAGAAGAGACAACACTGGGTAAAGCCAAGCAGTATGACTGGAAGGCCCACTGCTTAGTCAGACACCTACCTCCTGTGCTGGGTCAGCGCTCCCCTCCAGGACCCATCGCCAGGGCTCCACTCCTGCCAGCCCCATATATCCTGATCCCAGAGCCTATTCTGCTTTCCAGGCCTGATGAGTCACCTGGCTCTGGGCTTTCTTCAAGAGTACCGGGAGCCTGCTCACATACCTGGCCTCACTGAGGTGGAGGCTTCAGGCCCAGCTCACTTTGGGATGTCATTAAACTCTCATTCATTTCTTCCACAGCTGCTACCCTGTGCAGTACCTTGTTTTTATTCTCCCTTTCTTCCTCCATAGTCATTTTGAGCTGCAAAGCCTCAAGAGCTGGTAACACGGACAGGTGCCTACAGGATTGGTGCTGCCTGTGTGTGTGTCCAGATGCCAGAGCCCTGGAGAGGTCATCCATGGGGACAGCTGGATGTGGTACCCTCTACAGTAGAAGGGACACAGGGCATGGGACAGTAACCTCCTAGAGACTCTCTTTGAGGGAGGGGACACCCAGCAGTGGTTGCTGCCATGCCCATTGCCCACTAGGGGCGTGCACAAAATACTCAGATAGTTGGTTTTGTTGTGATCCCCCCCCACTGTTGTCATAAATGTGAAATGTCAGATAATGAGATAATGAGTGAGGAGTTAGGTGTATTTTCTGACAGTCAGAAGTCAGGGGCAGCGTCTTCTTTGTTTCTTTAGCTTCTAGAAGCTGCTGGCAGACTTTGGTGTTCCTGGAATTACTAATTTCATCGGTTTATATTTTGATATTTGATATCCTCTGCGTGGATGTCTGTTCTGCTTTTTTAATAAAACACCTCAGAAAGGATTAGGTTTAGATGCACATTCTCTGGGTGGAGTCTTGGTGTGACACTGTAGGTTAATGCACTGGATTGCAAAGTCAGTTTGATCTGCGAGATCAGTGGTTCAAGCTCACATGCTGCTCCTCAGAAACCCTATATGAGTTGGAATGAGTTGGAATCGACTCTATGGCACTCATCAGCCCAGACTAAAACTCCCATACCAATCTCAGCCAGCCCCTGGAAAGCACTAGTTTACTTGCTGTCACTGTGGCTGTGGAGTTACCTATGCTGGATAGCTCATATAAATGAAATCCTGCACTCTATGGCCTTTTGTGTCTGGCTTCTTTCACTCAGCATAATGCTTTCAGACCTCATCTAAGTGACCTTTCATCTGCAGACATTACGACGACTGTGTTTCCATGACTCTGCCATTCTCAGGGATGACTGTTAGCTCCTTGTGAGCAGGACACCTGTACTGTCCCATACCTCAGCCATCTGTCTATTGAGTCTGTACAATGCAAGAGTCCAGTCAACAGAGTACCTGTTATCTTTTTATGGGTTTTAAATTTCAGAATAGTTTTAAACTTAGAATTTGCTAAATCAGTAGCAAGAAAGCCTGTATACCCACCCTTGAATGTTAAACATCCTAGTGTTATACTGTGGAATAAGTACTGGACTGCTAACCACAAGGTTGGCAGTTCAAACCTTCCAGTCGCTCCTTGGAAACCCTACACAGGGCCACTGTGTATTGGAACCCACTGGACATCACTTAACAACAATAACATCAGTAAATGAAAGGTCAGTGAGAAAAAGTCCCTAATACCTATGGATATGTAAAAATTTAAATTCAGAGATGTTTTCAATTTAAGTAACTTTGTGTCAAGGTTGAAGTCTTTGCAGTAGATTGTTATTTTTACATTTATTCATCATCAACAAAAAGTTTTTCAATATGTAGCCAAGTAGAGTTTGTATGACTGTAAGGATGAAAGAAAGGAGGGAGCAGGGGAAAAGTCTGGTTTAGCACAAGGTTGGGCCGGATGTTATTTATAGTTTGTGAACCGAATGTGTTGACAGCACTGGGAAATTTAATGAACACGGAATGAAGGAGGTGGGGCCGTACCAGTCAGTGCCTTGGTAGAAAGCATTCCACGAGCTTGAAGAGGGAGGCTCTTGTGATAGGAAGGCACATTAGCGTGCGTGACAGCTATGTGAACGTGAGGCCCAGGGTAACTATCTCAGAACTCTCATGGAGCTTTTTTGGGGTGGGGGTGTTGGGTACAGGGGGAGCATGCCAAACAATTTTGACATTACAAGAAGATTTTGTGTGTTTGAAGATGATGATACTAAACTTGTTATTGTTAGGTGTCATCAAGTCAATTTCTGACTCATAGCTTCCTGTGTGATAGGTAGAACTCATTGGGGTTCTCTTGGCTGTAGTCTTTGGGGAGCAGATCACCAGATCTTTCTACCACAGAGCAGCTGGGAGTGAGGACTGGGGTGTAACCCCCATCGACTTTTCAGTGATATCAGCCAAATGCTAAACAGTGCTATCAGCGAAGTGTTATAAAAGCCACCAGGGCTCTTTGATATGAAACCCAGAATTTAAGACACAAATGATTTTCATTTTGGACATGTCTCAGTTGTGATCTCAGTGATGTGGCAGAGGCCCCATGCCTGTACATAGGAAATAGAGGTCTTTGTTTATGGGGAGTGTAAGACATCTTTCCTTCTTGGTCCACTCCTCCCTTTTTCTTTATGACCCAGTAATCTCTTGTCCCTGCCACCTAAGGTTATTTGACTTAAGACTTAAAGTTTCTTTAAATGACCCATTTTAGTACCTCACTCCCACATAAAACTTGAGTTTCCCATCTCCCTAGTGTTTGTTTTTATTGATAGGAGAGGAAACGGAGTGTACTGAGCTCAGGGAAGAAGAGCGGGAATTTGAGAAATCGTTACCTGGAATGGAGGGAACCATTCTGGGAATAATCAGTGTCGACTGCTCTTCTTCCCCAGGAGAGCAAGGAGGCCCAGGTCGTAGCTTCCCTGTGCTGTGCTAGCCTCTGAAGACGGCACGCCACTAGCCGTGTGGTCTCCAGTGAGGCATCTTGGTGTTGCCAGGCCCTTGTGCTACTCAGTGCAGCGTTTTAATATTCTTGTCTTATTGCCTTATTTTGAATAATAAAGTCTCAGGTGTGTTCACTTAGACCCCAAAGAGGTAATACTGAAGCCTGGATTGTGATCACTCTTGGATGCTATCACTTGTAAATGTACAGTGACAACTGTTTTGTTGGTACAGAGTTTCAGAAACTTTGGAGGAGTGTCACTGTGGATTCAATGGATGAAGAGAAAATCGAAGAGTATCTAAAGCGACAGGGTATTTCTTCCATGCAGGAATCTGGACCAAAGAAAGTGGTAAGTAGTCTCTGTGGGGGACAAAGGTTTAATCTTCTGTTCTTTGAACTGCTCACCTGCTTCCAGTTCTGCTTCTTGAAGAGCAGGTGGTCCCTTCCTAGTCTTCCTTAGTGTCCTAGACTCGTGGTGCACAACAGCTCATGTCTGGTCTTCTAGGGCCTCTCGTCTCTTCTGCCCTCAGTTCTGCTCCCCAGCTAAGCAAGGCCATCCCCTGTGCCAGTAGCTCCAACCTTTCTGAACATCTGGTAGTCCCCACACGTTGCCTGTCTTGCACCTCTGATCCTCGCACATACTTCTCCCAGGGCCTTTGTGGCCCTTGCTTAGTGAGGTTCCCTCGCTGAGACTCCTATATTTGGATCCTGGCTCTGCCTGCCATAGCCCTCATCACACTGAATTGCCCTTGTTGATTTTCAGGACCCCTAAGAACCAGACATTACTGTCTTTATAGCCCAAACCTCCCCTGTACACAGTAGGGATCAGTAATCACATGAAGACTTGTGAGTTGTCTTGTACCAGCTAATCAGCTATCTATAGTCCAAGAGTAAAGCTGGAATGAGGAATGCTTCCCAACACCCTGGTCTGTCATTGCTGTGCTTCTGTCCCCCACCCCCTTGTTCATATCATATTTGATAACTTGTCTTCTTCGTGGCTTCTGGTTTTTCTCTGTGCACGTGTGTGTTTGTGCTTTAGTTAAGGAATTTTAGGGGCTCATAAAAAGAGAAGATACCGTATTAGTGGTATCTGTATGAGTTGGTGTCAGGCAGCATTCATGATGATTTCCTATGTCGTTGTTTAGTTTGAATTTTTTAATCATGTGATATTAATATCTCAAGTATACAGAACAGAAAAGAATAGAATAATGTAACAAACAATGGTGTGTGCATGCACTTTTGTTTTGCCATAGCTTGGTATTTTGCTATATCTGCTTCAGATCTTTATTAGTAATGGTTAATCTGTTGTTTTCAAACCTGATAACAAAAGGAAGGAGACAGCAACGAGTTTCATGTCCAGCCTCTCTTTTGTTTTATCAGTTTGGTTTCTAGAAAAACTCTTGTCTGATTTGGTGCCTGCCTGCTTGCTTCTGAGGGAGCTGTGCATCTCAGTAACATGGAGCACCGCACAAGGGCATGTGCTGGTTGGTGGGAGGTGGTGGGAGGGCGAAGGGGGTGTGTGTGTGTGCATAAAGCAAAAAGAGAGACCGAGAAGGCTAAATGCCCTGTATCTCTTTGATGCTGGTTTCTGGGCATTTTCAGTAAATCCAGACCATCCTCACTCCTCCCTGGCCTTAACTCTGGTTGCTAACACTTTGCACCTGTCTTTTTAGGCCCCTATTCAGAGAAGGAAAAAGCCCGCCTCACAGAAAAAGCGACGGTTTAAGACTCACAATGAACACTTGGCTGGAGTGCTGAAGGATTACTCTGATATCACTCCTGGAAAATAGTGACCTGTGTGCCCGCCCGTGAGCAAAAAGTGGCAAACCCAGACTCGTCCTGGTCTTTCTTGTGAATACTTGGAATCTGCAGACTGACTCTCTTCCCATTCTTCTCCTCAGGACTGAGGAGAGCAGTTCCGGTTCCAGCGCCAAGTGCAAACCATCAAACTCAAAGCTTATTTAACCGAATAGGCTAAAGAGCACTGTGACTTTTCTGTTACCTCTTGAGGGGATGGCACTTAGCACTCTGCTTCTGAATGGTTCCTGGTTCCATTTTCTTCTTTTATTACTTTAGAGCAAGTTTGCAGATAGCCTTGAATGCAGTATTTGTTTATCCCAACAGAACATATTTATAATAAAATCATTGTAGAAGGATTTTGGAGATGTTAGTGAGTTCAGTTTGTTTCTTTTCATTCTTGAGAAATAGCAGCAAGCAGCTTCAGTTTCCCTTCTGCATGGGCACACATTTGATAGGCTGTCGAAGGCTAGTCTGCACTGTGTTGCTGCTGATCATATGAATTTCATAATTGGAACACAAGTTAAGTAAGTTAAAGCAATAAAAATACACTAAAGGTAACTTTAACCTTTTCTTTTTAAAGGATGAGTTAGTGGTATTTCGCCTCCTGGATTCAGTCAGTCATGGTTTGATATCAAGTGAACACTGGTAGAGAGAGAGGCTCTTCCCACCACCACCTCAGCATCAGCTGCACCATGTCCCAGCTTGACCTTGACGCCCCCCTTTTTCCCTGTCACCTCTTAGTGCCATTCTCAAATATGTGTGATCTGTAAGAGTCAGGGTGGCTTATGGGAAATCTATGTGATGATTCCTGCCTTCTGTAGCTAACTGCCCATTTTCCTTATCTTTGTTTTTGTACGGTCTACAGTGGTACTTTGGGTTGATTGTTGTAATTTTCATTGCAATAAATTGAAGTGTAGCTTATAAATAACAAGTTTTCACAAAGGGCATGATTGCTGACAACACTCAGTATGTTGAGAAGGTGGCAGGAGCCTCTTTGTGTTCTTAGTTCTTTTATCCTGTCTGCATCTCTTCCATCGACCATGTCATCGTACTGCTTACCTGTTAGCCCCAAAACCTGGCATGAGAAGATACAAAGCTGAGGTGCCACACGATAATTTAGAACATGGAAGTTCAACCCGTCTTGCTTTATATCAGAAGTTTTCTGCTAATAGGGAGGGAGCTTGATGCCTTATAGCATGAAACTCATCTTCCCTAAAACTCTAGAGCTAGGTTCTCCAGAGCAGATGCTTCACTTTAGTGGTGGTACTCCTGGCCCGTTTTGTGGAGTCGGAGGGGGTGGGGTGGGGCAGGCAGTGCTCTGTGGACATCTTGGACACTTCATCCTGTTTGCATGGAAATAGACATCAAGGCACTTGTCACACGTTTTCCAAGATGAGCTGCTTCACTGCCAGTTGGAGATGTTAGTGATGTCTAACTAAGCCTGTAGCCATCAGCACTTTGGGACTGGCCTGATAATTGATTTCAGTTATCTTGTTTAAAACTCACTTCAGTCAGAAATGAGGAAATTGAGGTCTAAAGAAATGAAGTATCTTGCTAGATTGCCACACTTTCAAATCTTAGAGCCCTACCTCATTGGTTACCATTTATTGTGAAACCACAATCCTCCTTGCCTACCACACGTGTGAGAAGTTCTTCTGGATGCCCCAGGTTGGGGTTGGGGTTGGGGTTGGGGTTGGGGTTGGGTCATCAGTAATGTGAGGGGAGGGCACAGTCTCTGTGGAAAGTTGTGATAGGAGTCCAGGTGTATTTTCAGAGCATAATGAAAGAAATAATCATCTCTTAACCAAATCTTATGGGTGTCTAACAATATATCCACCAGAAACTGCAAGTTAATATCGAAGTTGTGTTCTCGCCTCTGCCCATTTCCCTTGGCTCTGCGGGCCATTTAGAGGTAAGTGGGAATGGGCATGGCTGAGTGAGTTAAGAGGTTAGGACAGTCTGTAGGCACTTGATCTATAATTCATCACAGTCATTGGAGGCTTTTAGGGTCGAGTTGAGAGAATGTGGTTAAGGCTGGACCAAATGTAAAGACGGAGCATTTGACTACTGCTGTCACTTCCTGTAAGTGCAGCCAGATGAGGGTGGGACTCTGGGGATGCAGGAGCACCTGTTGAACTATGGTCGTGAAAAGACTGTGCAGGGACACCCATATTTCCCGCCCTGATTTCCACAGAGGCTGCACCGCCCCTGGACAGCCCTCGGTGTTTTTTGAAATTACCAGCAGCAAAATACATTGTGAACATGGTGGTGAGGTGGGAATTTTAATGTATTAATTTCCCAGTTCTCATCAGCTAATGATGGTTTCCTCTGAGGCAGAAAAGATGTCATACCTGCCTCAGCTCTTCAACCTTTGCTTTTTTTTTTCCCAATGATTGATTTGTGAAGAAGATTGGATTAACTGATCACAACAAGCTGAGAGAGCTGAAGCTGAGCTTTATGCCGTCTGGTAATCAGCTGTGTGTTGCAGTGATGGCAATTGTCTACCATCACTGGGACTGCTGTCCTCGGTGCTTCATCCGCTGTAGGTCATTGCCAAGAGTGTATTTTGTGAGATTGTTCTGAAAGGTGTTCATGTTGTCCTCCGGGGAGGCCCAAGTTCAAATAAATGTGTAAACCATTTCTCAAATTAAGTGGGCCTTGGAACACCTGACCATTGTCCCTGGAAACATACTCTGGAAACACAGAGCTGGACCAGCCCTGGCCATAGTTAAAAAAACAAAACAAAACCAAAAACACATTTCCCTTCATAGAAGGATTCCCATTAGAAATAGGACTGGTTGCTCATAGCAGATCAAGAAGGGGGCTTGTAATATAGTCCCCTTTGGACATTGGAGGGCCAGATTACTAGTTAAGCTCCACTGGTTTGGAGCTGGGCCAGCACATTCTTGTGACTTAAACCATGTGGTTTCAAGACGCTGGTGAGAGATCAGTGACTTTTCAGGGTGTAATTTGGAGTATTTAGCAGCCTACTTCAAATGATGGAAAGTGAGGATCAACTAGAAATGTAAGTGGGACTGGCTGGGCTTTGAACGTTCTTAGAGCTTTGCATGGCTCACACTTCAAAAGACACAGAAGCAGCGAGAGTGGACTCAGGTGGGGCCTGAAACTCCAGAGCAGGCTGACCTGACACTTGGTCTAGTCTACATGATTTTGTTTGGGAATAGGACTGCTTTGCCCAGGTAAATATTTGAATCTCAACATCCAACAGCGTTTAGGGATCCCCACACCCATCCTTTTTTTTTGTTTTTCTGCTTAGAAGACAAATTTGGCTTGAAATGAAGCATTTCACTGAATTAAATCTCAAATCTAGTGTGTGATCATGTTCGAAGAGTTCCACTTGAATTTTCCAAGTGAGCAAGTAAAACCAAAGGACCTGATTTTCCCTCCCCAACTTAGATCTTTGATAAAGGAGATGTGTGTGAGAATGGGAAATGGAGGACTGCTTTGTCTTTTGTGCTGTTGAACTCATTTAGACTCACAGTAACCCTAGAGAACAGATTAGAAGGTTCTATAGGGTTTCCTAGCCTGTAAACCCTCTATGAGTCGGAACCGACTTGAAGGCACATAAAAATATTTATGAAAGCAGATGGCCACATCTTTTCAGAGTGGGTGGGTGGTTCAGTAAACAGTCAAGCACTTAACCATTCATTGCACAGGCCTTGCTGCTTGCTTTGTCTTTACTTAATGGACATAATATGTTACAGTTTGTAGGAGCAAAGTCCTTTCCGCACCCCCACAAACCCTCATAAAGCAGGGACCAGGTGTTTTGAACTCTTGATGGATTTGGTCAAATAGAACCCTGTTGGTCACTATAGAGCTGGGAAGAGAGGATAAATGTTCATAGCATATCATAGATTAAATTGTGTCCCCAAAATAAAGTATCAAATTGGCTTGGACATGATTCCCCATATTGTCTGCTTGTCTCCGTTTTGTGATCTGCTGTATTTATACTCCATTTGTGACATGTTGTACAGGATTAGGTTATGCTAATGAGGATGGGGTTATATTTGTTGTGTTAGTGAAGATTTGTGTGGGGTACAACAGCCATACCCTGATCATAGTTCTGATCTGATGTAAGGCAAGTTTCCCTAGAGTGTGGCTTGCGTCTTCCTTTACCAGATGAAAGGTGAGAGAAGAGGACAGAGAGAGAGAGCTCAGTACCACCAGGAATGAAGTGTTTTGGACCCAGGGTCCCTGTGCTGAGAACCTCCAGGGAAGATAGATACCAAGACACGTGAAGATCTCCAAAAAACACCAGGCCCACAGATGTTGAGACAAAGACCTTTCCCGATATACAACAGGTTGTCAGTATCAGTTATTCTGGTTTTAGTATAGGTGTTCTGAAGACCAGCATTTGAGATGAACACTAGTAATAGATACTTGCTTCCTATGGATGTTGTGAAGTCTTTCGTGTTAAGACAGTGTCTGACAGAACAGATTCAAAGTTGAAAAGCAAGACAGCAGTATGTAAATACTGTACTCTAAAAATAAAACTGGGTAAAAATGTTCTCAATAGTTGACAGAATTCTTTCAGTCCAGTGATATGGGAAGAAATCCGTATATTCCAAAGGTGATTCCTACTCTTGTCACAACCCCAAGAATATATGTGTATTGGAATGTAGAATCCAGGAACAGTTAACACCTCCTCCATCATTCTCAAGAATGTTCCTTATGCCATGCTACTTTCAGGAATCAAAGATGTGTGGAGAGTGGGGTTTTGGGGGATCTCAGAGATGATGGCAATATTGATTTTAAGTAAAACCAAAAGTCAACTGCCATCAAGTAGGATCTGACTCATTGGTGACATGTGTATAGAGTAGAATTACTCTATAGGCTTTCCAAGGCTGTAACTTTGTAGAAGCAGCTGACCAGATCTAATGCACATCTGGGTGGGTTTGGGCATCCAACTTTTTGGTTGGTAGTCGAGGGCTTAATTGTTTGCACCAGCCATTCAAATTTGTTACTTATA